TAAGCAATGTGCAGAGAGTTCCTTCAATAAATGAAGTTTGGACAGAACGACTACCCAGCAGGCATTAAATTACTATTTAAAACAAAATAGACGTTACACAGATGATGTAATTTTGAGTCTGTGCAGTAGTGATGGTAACAGAAGTCATTCAGTTCATGTCCTGTCCTCTTGCACGCAGGAGGCAGGGTTTATGACATGTACTGCAGCCAGCCACCAAGGAGGAATTAAAACTATATTACTCTACTTTTGTGGAGATGTCATATCAGCCATCTTCATTTACAATCTACTCAGAGATGCTTACTCTGGTGATGTTTCTTATTTTACTTTATTTTTTTCGTTGCCACAGAGACTGTGCACCATTTAAACTTCACATTTTCACAGGTGAGAGAGGAGTGAGAAGAAAAAGGTGACACGTGATTTACACAGGACCTGATGAGAACATGGGTGAGCCCAGGGGAGGAGGACGGATGCTTGGCAACTGATTGGTTGGTCCAAGACGGGCGGCGATAACCCTTTAGTTACTGTTTTTAGAAGATGTGAGAGAGATGTCTTAACCTAATAATATCATTTGGAGACAGAGTCTGCAACAGCAGTCATTAGCTTGTTGTCTCATATTTTGCTTTATTGTATCTGTTACCACATCTTATATTGTTTTACAATGCCATACATTGCCATCGTGGTCGCGTCTCAGTGCAATAGAGGTTTCTGACAATGTTGAGCTAAGGTTGATGTAAACATGCTGACTGAGTGTGTATTGATTAATAGATCAATCTGTCCCATCTGTCCTGCAGTTTCCAGCTGTGTCCCTGTTATAATGTTGGTGGATAACGGTTATTATTACAGTGACAAACAATATCAACTCAACTATTCTATATAGAAAAACCAAAAACTGTGTGAGAAAGAACATTTCTCAGGAGTCTAATCACTGATAATGAGCTGAAAATTTCAAAAGATGAGGCGACACTGAATGAACGTTGTGATGAAACTTCCTGTGATTTGTGTCCCCTGTATCTTCATGTCCTTGACATAAAGAAAACATCTGAACCCGTTGCACTGCAATGCATTGAAAATATGATTAAAACTTCATGTGGCTGCCTTTACAAGGTTCAGTGCGAACTGGAAATTTTTAAAATTATAAACTTTATATAAACTCTAGCTGACACCCAGTTCCCTCCCTCTCACTTCCCTCTAAGGTAACTGTTTTGACAGCTTTAATGCTAAAGGCATTGTAATGTGCTAATTAAGCTTTTTGCATTTTACAGCGACCCGGCTTCGTCCCTTTTTACATTTCCCTTCAAGTAAAATGTCAACTATCCACGTAAGCATCAACCCTGCTCCTTAACCTGCTGCTGCTGCCTACAGACGTCACCCTACACCATCAGTCCTCTTCCTCACCCCACACATTAAATCCTCACCCCTCAACCTCCATCTTCTGTTTGAACAATCTGAGACAATGATTATGTGAAAAATCCTGTGTAAAAAAAACCTCATTTAAACTTCATATTGTCTCAACTTTGGGGAGATGTGAGAGCGGGGTGAGAAGAGGAAGGCGAGAGGTTATTTACGCAGGACCTGATGAGAACAGGTGTGAGCACATGGGAGGAGGATGGATGCTTGGTAACTGATTGGATGATCCATGATGAGCTGAGACATCCCCTCAACACCTCAACAAGATTTTCCCTGACTGCCAAAGAAAGCAGCTCAACCTTTGTCCCTCAGTGAGACAGAGTAATTAGACAGCAATATATATATGTTCATTCATACAACACCTTAAGACACAACTTGCCCAGCACATCTCTGATGGGTGACTCTCCTCTCCTCTCTGTCATCTGTACCAGCTCCAGCAGTCTCTGCCTGACAGGCACTTTGCACAGATGCGCAGGGCGGATGCGAGCGTGCAGCTTTTTCCTCTGAGCAAGAAGAATTTCCATGTAAGAGATCAGTGAGAGAGGAAGAAGAGAAGAATCCAACCCAATCCATCTAATTCCAGTAAGGTAAGAAAAAAATGGTGTCTGGTTTAACATTTTTAGGGAGATGTAAGAATATATATACCTCCTTCCCAACACCCGGACTAATAAATTATGCTCTGTGTAATTTACTCTTCTTAGTATAAGTATCATTGTTACAGTGTAAAGGCGGACACAGCTGGATATATAGTTTAAAAAAAAGAAAAATCTGAATTTCATCCAAAAGCATGCTGATTGAAAGACAAACTAAATCTGATCTAACTTAATGTCAGGTTTATTCTTTGATTTTTGTTGTTTGGTCATTGCTTGCTTGCTGAAGTATGATTATTTTATCTATTACCATAGAGAAAATATTATTTCCTCTTGAAGAATATCAAACTATCGTGGGTTATTGTTGTGTTATTATTGTTGTTATGTTATCATAGTATTATTACCACTATTTATGTATTTGTTTGTTTAAACCATTTTCAAATATGTCGAAACAATAAATGCAAACGTTAATTTGATTGATGATTACATTGGCAGCGATAGAATATTCATCACAGAGCAAACCTGGTATAGTTTGCTTTGTTTATTCCTTTGGAAACAAGATGATCTGACAGCTCATTGTTAATTATAGTGGTGTTAAGCTGCAAACAGTGGATGCCTGAAATAATCAAAAACTTGATAGAAATCATTCTGCAGAAAGCATAAGCCAAAAAATGTGTTTCCAACGATCCATCTAGATGAGTATTGCTGTGTTCCAATCACATAATTGCCAAAACGAGTTTGAAGTCAGCCCTTTATCCTTCCCAGAACGCCGGTGTCACTGTTTTGCCATAACCAATTGACAAACCATTTAGCACGCTCGCCCACTGCTCTCACAGCAAATAGCTCATTTTGGTCAGTGTGGTGTTTTTTATAGGGTATGAGGGAGCGTGCACTTCACTGAATCAACCGACTTACAATAATCAAGAGACACAAGAACTGAACTATTGATTCCTGAAGAGGTTCTATTGTTTTATGTAATTACCAATCGATTCTTCTTCTGGTCTGCAGGATAGCACTCCACTGAGGTGTGTGTGTGTGTGTGTGTGTGTGTGTAATGGTGCTCTGGTTAATAATTGGTTGATTTTGTTAAGGGAAGATTTGTATTCAGGAACACATGCAGACTACTGATGTGCTGAACAGATAACAGGTTATTTAAGTGATGTATTAATGCCTCTATCTCTCTGCCTCCCACCAGATATCATCATGACCCACAATCTGCCTCTCAATACGACCTGGGAGAGCGTGAACACATCCGATTCCTCAAGATTGCAGGAAAATGCTCTGACCCACCAGAACGTCACCTACGTGGACTTCTACCTCCACAAGCCCTCTGTGGCTGCCGTCTTCACCATCTCCTACCTGCTGATCTTTGTGGCGTGCATGGTCGGCAACGGGGTGGTGTGCTTCATTGTGTTGCGCAGTAAAAACATGCGCACGGTCACCAACCTGTTCATCCTCAACCTCGCCATCAGTGACCTGCTGGTTGGCATCTTCTGCATGCCAACCACTCTGGTGGACAACATCATAACAGGTCTGTGCATATGTTTTTTTTTTATGAAGGATTTATTTAAATCATCTCTGCAGGTTTTTTGTGGTTATGTTCTTACACTCTTTTTCTCTTTTCTGCAGGATGGCCATTTGGCAGGGTAGTGTGTAAACTGAGTGGTATGGTTCAAGGGATTTCTGTGTCAGCATCTGTGTTCACTCTCGTGGCGATAGCTGTTGACAGGTGAGGGCTGTAATTGCATTGTGCTGTTTGTTATCCCACAAGACTTCTTTTCCTTTATTTATTTCCTTCACTCTCCTTTGTGTCAGGTTCCGCTGCATTGTCTACCCTTTCAAGCAGAAGCTGACCATCACCACCTCCAAGCTAATTATTGTCATCATATGGGTCCTGGCTGTGTCCATCATGTGTCCCTCCGGGGTCATGCTCCAGGTCACAAAGGAGCAGAGGGTGCGGATAGTCCTCGGTCGCAACAATGATACTCGCCCCTTCTACTGGTGCCGGGAAAATTGGCCCAATCAGGAGATGCGGAAAATCTACACCACCGTCCTCTTCGCCAACATCTTCCTTGCCCCTCTCAGCCTTATTGTCATCATGTACGCCCGCATCGGCTTCACCCTCTTTAAGACCACAATACCTCAGATGAGGGTCGGCGGAATTGTGCCTGGTGAAGGGAGCGGCAACAACAAACTAAACATGGAAAGTCGTCACATAATTTCAAGGAAAAAGAAGAGGGCGATCATGATGCTGCTGGTTGTGGCTCTGCTCTTCGTAATTTCCTGGCTGCCCTTGTGGACGCTCATGATGCTGAGCGACTACGCCAGCCTCACGGAGCACCAGTATCGCGTCATCAACATCTACGTGTATCCCTTGGCTCACTGGCTGGCCTTCTTCAACAGCAGCATCAACCCCATCATCTACGGGTTCTTCAACGAGAACTTCCGCAGGGGCTTTCAGGCGGCTTTCAAGTTCCAGCTGTGCTCTGCTGAAATACAGCACCAGAGAACGTACTCCCATCGGATAAGAGGGAACGCTGTGCTCCCCGTCCAGGCTGCCATACTCAGCAGATCAGGCTCGAAAGTGGGATCGGTGTTGGTGGGGAATGGGAAGTGCTCATGTCAGGAAGAGGGGCGTTTGTCTGGTAGACATGATGTTAATGAACAGGACCTGATCATTGAAGATCTGGAAAAGGTGTCCCATATTTAGATGAAAAGAGAGTGCACAACACAGCACTTTCCGGTTATGAAAGTTTTTGGACGATAACTTCCTGCATTTCAAGGACAATGGAAACAGACTTCAGAAATATGTATATTTATTGGAAGTGAATGTTCTTTCAACCTGTGGTATCATTTTGTGAATGTTTATCATTGTATATATAAACAGAAAGAGCTCATACACTTGATTGGTTTGATTTGTCCATGAACAAGTTTGAGTCTGATTCAAATGTTGCTAAATCCTGATGGTGGCTGGGAAATGTGACGTCATCTTTTATGGTAAATCCCATCCCAAACCAGACAAAAAGAGCACATACTCTACGTAGCACAAATCACTGATGACTCTTTCATGTGAAAGAACCGAATCATTTCTAACTGCAGCAGAAATCTGGATGTAGCGCCGCATCTCTCCTGCAGAAACACAAGCTGAGTGAGAAGTGAGTGAAGATATAATCTGAATGTTTACATTCTGTGAACCAAACCAAAGCCCCTTCCCCTCTGAGTAATACCCACCAACATCTGGCATGTGTATTCAGTAGGAAACAGTTATTTAATAGCTATGTCTCAAATCCTTCAGAGGCTGCATTTGAAGACCAATTGCGTCACAGCAGCAGGACTAGGCTGTCCCATTTCAAAGGCTCCTTCAAATGTGGCCGACAAATGCCTCGTTCCATCCCCAAGAAATCAAAAGATCCAATGGGTGGATCCTTCCCGGCCCAAATATATATTCCAGGATTCATTTTGCTTCAGCAACAAAGCAATTTTCAGAACGGTAATGTTGTTGCAAGCAACTTGTTGTGCTTCAAATCATTCAAACGGTATACTTGTTAAAAACCCAAGGGGTATTAAAACTTTCTCGGCATCTCCAACTTCAGCTCTGTTGCTTAGAAACAGCAATAAGGTGCGGGGAGAGCTGTCAACGCCAATCACAGATATCCTCTGTAGACCAGACCATCTCATTTCGGTTTATGCGGCCCTAACACTGCCTCTATGGTGGACTACATAGACTATGTCTTCTGAAGGATGCAGCCCATGAATGGAGACACAGCTGTTGTCCTTAGCTCCCGGCAGTGATGGAAACATGACACCCGGTGGTTTTGCTTCTTTTAAGAGCATTTAATGAGGGCAACAAACATGCCTTTGCAATTCCAACCACAAATTCAATCCGTCTCCAGAGCTCAGACATTTTTCAGTATAAGTTTAGTTTGAAGAGGACAAAGCAAATTATACAAAATGTCATAGTTAGTGGCCTCTGGGACCGGAAAAAAAGACTGAGGCAAACTGATATTGGGAGAAAAGTTTATTGCCTTTTTAAGGGGTTTACCCATGTTTAGAAAAACTTGCACAACTTAAAATACCTGCTCCTTTTGGGGTTAAGAGGGGACAACTGTGTTGACTCTATTCCATATTCCCTTTGCAGGTGATGCAAAACCTGTGAGTGTCAGCGAACACCGACAGCGAGTGGCGCAGTTCGATCCGACTTGAATTCAGAGGGGAACTGAACATTACTCTTACTGCTGCAAATTTTGAAGCTTTCGAGGGGGGGGGGGGGTGACACTTGAAGAATGGGACTTCTTTCATGAGTGAAGTGCGAGGCAGTGTGAAGAGAGTTGTGTCAGCTTCCTCCAGTCAAAGTGCATGTTGTAGTGCCTGAGGGCGATTGGTGCGGGGCTGATGGCTGCGACATGCAGTGGCAATTGGAAGAAGATCACAGGCTCATTTGGAAAGCATCTATGTGCCCTCTAGTTATCTGCTCTTTGTGCGGCGCTTGGAGATTTGAGCGCTGTCAAAGTGACGAAAGTTGTGTTATTAGACGTGGGTTGTGAGAATGATCTTGAGCTGAAAGCAGAGCAGATAAGAGGCTAGAGAGGCTTACCATGACAAGAGAATGGGGGCATGTGCATAAAGCGGTAATAGCCTGTATAGGGTATATATACTTATACATATATTTATATATACATATAGGGTATTGCCAGTATTAAACCGTGGGAGAAAAATGACCATCAGTGGAAGACAAAGCTTATAAATATAAAACTCACAACTAACTACAAAAGGCACAGCATTTCTTTCAGAACCATTCGAACATGATTAGTCCTCAACTGTGTTTAAATCACTGTTGGACAACCTTCTGGTCTCAAGAATACACCTACACAACAGATGCCGAATGGTGTTTTCTGGAAACCATTAGTTCTGTGCCCTATTTCCACATGCACATAGAAACAGTTACCTCAATTGTGAAGTGTTATTTTAGCTTCTTTTGTATGAGTACTGTTTTGTTTCAGCGTTATTTTTGTATTATTTATTGTAACTTTGTTTAATTGTACAAATTAGTCATGCCAATTTTTGTATCACTATTTGACAAGTAAAAGAAAACAATGTGTTTTGTCAATGTCTTAAACCCATTTGCAGTTTTTGACCACTAGTAGCGCTATGGAGCATATTTTCTATCTAAAATTTGGTCCCAGTTTTATTTGGATCATGTAATAGGACACAGTTACACTCATGCTTTTGTTTTCATGCAATTTTGCTGGTTGATAATTGGTGAAATAGAATGAATGAACACAACAACTTCATATAAATGGATGTAAACAGTTCATAGAATAAAATATTCTAAAAATACATTTTTTGTGCGTGTAGTGAAAGGAAGGAGTTGCATTCAACAAGTAGGCTGCTGGTTGTTTAGTATCATGTTCTGAAGTGTGTAATAATAATAATCGGTAGTCTCTATTTTGTGCTCTGCAGTGGTATTTGTGCATGCTTCCCTTGATTATGTTGGTGCTCCAGTGAAGATTGATGAGAGTATGAAATTATGAAGGTGTGGATGTGATTAAATAGTATCTTGTTTGTAGACAGATGTTTGTGATATGTAATATATTGTATATTACAGCTAATATGTTTTGCTTATTACATATTACTTATATTTGGAAAAAGAACATACTGCCAGTGTGGTTTTGCTGCTTGTTTGTGAATTGGGAGTACAGATTTTGAGTGTGCAAATGAAAAATAAAAATGAGCAGTTTCAAGAGAGAATTTTGAAGATGACTTAATAATATTTGTTCTTACATCGCAGTTAGACTACAGAGCAGTGAGAATCAAGTGGTTAAGGAGTTTATCTTATGGGCATATATGTCCAAAGCAGTTAGGTCCACGGTATAACTCCCGACTAGTTGGACCATTTGCTGGATGTCACGCCCCTTCTCTCTACCGATGGTTCATTTGTCTCTCCACTATCACTGTCAAAAATAAAAGCAAAAGACCAAACAAAAAAGGCTGAGTAATGTTTCTCAAAGAAAAGGAATCAGATCAGGAGTTTCTACAGCAGCATGTTCTCTGGGACTGACTAAAAATACTGTTCCCACATTCATTGTGTTCAACTTGGTCATTGATGCATTTGTGGATCTCTACAAGCTGTAATCGGCTTTTGGTTTCATTGGCAATACCTGTTACTATAATCATCTTAGGTTATAAGTCCAAAAAAGTAGCAGTTACCCAGCAGTACTATGTTAAATGCTTATAAATACTCAAGTGCCTGTAATGTTACTACTGTAATTTAAAAACTGAAAATAATAAAATCGTCCATCCTGAATTGTCCCTAGATTTAGGCACAAAAAACTGTGAAAAGTTCAAATATGTTGCAAATGCTTACAACACAACCAAATGCAGTAATGTACTGCAAGTAGAACATTATAGCACAGTTGGTGTATGTATTTATACAACCTTTCATGTAATTAAGAAAATGAACTACTTTTTATTCAGTCCACCAGGGAAGAACTTGCAAAAGGGAAAAATAAAGGAAAATGTGACGAATGATGACAAATTCAAAACGACCCAACTTGTGAAATATAAAATAAAGTTTGATGTTGACATTAGCTATTGTTGATATCAGAGCAATCAGATAAAATGGGACCACCTGGATTAGTGGAGGCCACAATAAACATGGACGACACTATCTGTGTCCTGTGGGTAAAAAGAAAATGGATTGTCATCTCAACAGATTAAAGTAGGCTTCTGGAAACACTAATCTCCAAAAGCCATTAGAGTGTCTACTTCAGCAATATCTCTATCTGTGGTCTTCCATTAAGTTTACGTGACATTTAATGTGGGATTTTCATCAAGACCACACACGTGCCCCTGGGAGAGCCCTTGCCTTTTAGCTACCCCGCACTAAGGACTTTGTTAATCTTTACACATCTGTGAGTAGCTTTAACTTCTGAGACTCAGCACTTCATTAAACCTTAAGGACCATATCTCAATACTGTAAATTGATTAGGTTTGGTTTTCATGATCCTATTATACCTAGGGAACTGCAGAAAATTGACTTTGACTGAACAAAATGATGATGACAATTTATATTGAATTTGGATCACTTAGACATGTTGATGAGTGGTATTCTCATGAGCGTCCTGGTGATTGATATGGGATTTGAATTTAGATATACAGGGAACTAATGGGTTGCAATTCAGATACAAATGTTGCCACTGAAGAAAACAAAGACTGTTTGTGTTATGGTTGTTACTATAGCAACCACCACTCTTTCTGAGGTCTAAGGTAAAACTGAATTTAAAGACTGATTGTGTCATGGCAGCATGGCTTGGCTGTCCTATTTTCGAAGGCTCCTTCAAATGCTTCTTCCTGAGCAATGAATGCTCCAATTGATGAATCCTACTAAGGTCAACTTATGCCACGATTCGTTGAGCTCCAGTGACGAAGCTAATGAGCTAGCTATAGGTTGCTGGGCTGCAGTATGTACAGTGGTTCAAAGCTGCTAATGATGCTGGGACAAGATCGTAAAGCAAATCTTCTGAAGACTGTCTATTTTCGGTTTCGGTAGACTTCCAAAGGAAGCAACCCTGAAATGAGCCAATTATCATACATATCAAACATATTTGATGTTTACAATTTGACATTGGGGTGGCTCTATAACAAAAGATTATTTTGTAACCCCATTCTGAATTATTCATGTTTATAATCGGCACCGAGTGACCTTCATTC